TATCTGTCTCACTCTTTCACATCTGTGAATCACTCTTACATTACCCCTCCCTCTCATCTCGACTTGTTGTGACTTTGGTGTTCCTCCCCTCTGTGAAGCCCGAAGTCAACTAAAGGGTTAATGATAACTGCCAAATTGCCTGCCATTTGATAATTATAATGATTGGCTAATAGGAGAATGAGTTATTATACGTGGTGAGAATATGGAATTGTGGGAGGGGTGGGGGTTCGCATTATGAAATTATTAAGTGAACAATTTTGATAACCACAGCCGATAATGGATTTATAACGCGAGATGCACTTAAACGCGATTTCGTTTGCGTTTGAAAATAACCACAGAAATTTGAATTAAGTCTTTTATTCGACAAAGTAAAATAATGGTGAAGGCAGTAGCAAATTAAAAACTATTAAATTACTAATTAGTAACTGTATTTTGTGAGAGAAAAGCTGGAAGCTTCCAAAAACAAGAAATAATTTAATGTAAATTTGGGTTATTTGATTACATTTAACTTATAGACTTTTTCATAATATATAATTTAAAATTTCTAAGTATTTAGACAGTGGAAATATGTAAGTTGTATTTAGACGAAAAAATCATACAATTTGCATTATTTTAATTATAATTAAAATATAGTCTTAATCAAATTTAATTTAAGTTTTATTCAATTTCTTCAAACTTCAAGAAATAATTATTATCGTACATTTCGTTCAACACGTTGTTTATCTGAATATTTGTATTAATTTGTAACTCAATTTATACGCATTATTCAAACTATCATGTCTAAGCAGAATAACCACCGTGATTTACTTATTTCGAATTTGGAACAGACACATTATATTAATTGGTTAATTTGTGTTAAATGGTGAATTAATTTGTTATATATTCATTAATGCCTGAGATTATGCTAATAAATTCGTGGGAAAAATTAATGTTGACGAGGAAAGGAGAAGTTTCCTCCTCGAATTGTTTGCGGTGCGTCGATCTACTGTTCTTCTCTAACTGAGCATAGGTGTAGGGTCAAATATTAAATCTAGAGAGGACACATAGTATAATTTTAACAATCGAGCGGGGTGTTGGAGAAGCATCACTCCAACTTATCTCGTGTATGATGTCTTAGATAAACAAAACAAAGATATTCGTGCAAGGAAGAGGTGAAGGAAAAGGGAAGGAATGGTGAAGACACAAAGGGAGAAATACGGGCAGGCACACAAACTCAACAACAAAATCAAAGGATTAGTAGAGAGGTATTCCTTGACGAGATGAAGAAGACCGAGAAATCGTCTTTGTCTTCTTCTTCAAGTGGTTCTTCTGATACTGAAGAAGATTTTAATGGTGAATCTGGAATGAAGAGTGAACTGTCTTTAGGACCTTCACACTGAATGCAATCGTTCTCTTCAGGGATGTAAAAACCCCCACCCGTTGCTTCACAAATATTCACACCTCCTCCAAAACGTTTCAAACCAAGTGAAATTCCTCCTCCACCTCCTTCTAATCCGCCAGTTAAATCCTCACATGAAAAGTTATTTGACACCATTCGAAATTACCTCCTGCGTAGGCCAATCACAATGCAAGAACTTTTGAGGAAGCTGGGA